TATCAAACTTAGATGCAGCCAATCTAATAGAAACAAAGTTCTCAAAAGATTTTAGAAAACCCAAAATCTGTATTCTATTCAGTTCTCTTACGAGAGGTTCTCTCATACTGCATAAATCTTACGTTAGGGGAAAATCTATTTTACGTGAGATATTGAAGCCAAAATATTACCCTTAATTTTGATTTAATGTAAAACGCGTTGCGGCAGCATGTAGAGATAGGCAAGACGGCTTAGCGTGCCTATTGGCTGTCCTGCCGCAACTGCAGCAGTCTATCGAGAGAGGCCCTTTTGTGACGGTCCAATGGGGGCGCTTCGTGCCCACTGCATCACACTCCCGCCGAAGCGGGCGTGGACTAGCCCTATAAATATAGCTTGATATGCTGATATCACTGATTTTTCATCTCTTCAGCGCAGCGCACGCATCCAGAGTGAGAATCCGCGCGGAAAGCCTTCTGCGGGACGAGCCATCTCAGCTGAAGCCGCTGGCCTTCATTTCGCCACCTTCAGTCTCTGTTCCTGTTACGCTATCCGGAGTCTATATCCTTTTATATACTCTGCTTAAGTGTGTGTTCGCCACCGCGACTCACATTTTCTAAAAGAGTTGTCTTTTTAAAGATGCCATCCTCATGTGGCACGTGCCAAGCGCCACTCAGCGACGGGGACCGCCATGTCATCTGCGTTTCCTGCCTGGGAGAGGATCATGCAGCACTCGCGCGCGCCGACGGCGGCTTCCCTCACTGCAAGCTATTGCTTATGGTTACTCTGAGGACTCGTCTGGCATATTTCTCCTAGTCTGCAACCCCACCCGCTACAGTGCCGTGCCATAAAAAGAACAGTAAAAAGTGCCGCACTCAGCGTGTCCCTGAGCCTTCTCAAGCACGCGACAGCTCGCCGGTTCGCCCGCCAGCTTCGCCCGCTTCACTCGGCTCGCTCACCGCCCCCCGCCACTTCCGGCATCGATGACGATGAGCCTCGGCCTCGAGTGGGAGGCGCCCACGTGCAACCGACTGGATGGGTTCTTCCTTCAAGGCCCACGCCCTTTCTTCCTGAGCTTCACGAAGAAGTCGCGAAATCCTGGAACACCCCCTTCTCAGCCTGAGTGCGTTCCTCTGTCTCTGCAGCATTCTACGTGGTGGACGGTGCGAAAGACATTGGTTACCTCTTGCTTCCCCCAGTGGAAGAAGCCGTAGCAGCCCATCTTGCCCGCCTTCTGCTGGACGGCGAGCTAAGACGGCGCTGCAATACTGCAGATATCCTAGGCCTATATCCTTTTATATACTCTGCTTAAGAGTGTGTTTGCCACCACGACCACGCATTTTCTAAAAGAGCTGCGTCTAAAGATGCCATCATCATGTGGCTCGTGCAGAGCCCCACTCAGCGAAGGGGACCGCCATGTCATCTGCGTTTCCTGCCTGGGAGAGGATCATGCAGCACTCCCGCTCGCCGACCGCGGCTGCCCTCACTGCGAGCTATTGCCTATGGTTACTCTGAGGACTCGCCTGGCATATTTCTCCTAGTCTGCAACCCCACCCGCTACAGTGCCGTGCCATAAAAAGCACAGTAAAAAGTGCCGCACTCAGCGGGTCCCTGAGCCTTCTCAAGCACGTGACAGCTCGCCGGTTCGCCCGCCAGCTTCGCCCACCAGCTTCGCCCGCTTCACCTGGCTCACTCACCGCCGCCCGCCACTTCCGGCATCCATGACGATGAGCCTCGGCCTCGAGTGGGAGGCGCCCACGTGCAACCGACTGGATGGGTTCTTCCTTCAAGGCCCACGCCCTTTCTTCCTGAGCTTCACGAAGAAGTCGCGAAATCCTGGAACACCCCCTTCTCAGCCTGAGTGCGTTCCTCTGTCTCTGCAGCATTCTACGTGGTGGACGGTGCGAAAGACATTGGTTACCTCTTGCTTCCCCCAGTGGAAGAAGCCGTAGCAGCCCATCTTGCCCGCCTTCTGCTGGACGGCGAGCTAAGACGGCGCTGCAATACTGCAGATATCCTAGGCCTATATCCTTTTATATACTCTGCTTAAGAGTGTGTTTGCCACCACGACCACGCATTTTCTAAAAGAGCTGCGTCTAAAGATGCCATCATCATGTGGCTCGTGCAGAGCCCCACTCAGCGAAGGGGACCGCCATGTCATCTGCGTTTCCTGCCTGGGAGAGGATCATGCAGCACTCCCGCTCGCCGACCGCGGCTGCCCTCACTGCGAGCTATTGCCTATGGTTACTCTGAGGACTCGCCTGGCATATTTCTCCTAGTCTGCAACCCCACCCGCTACAGTGCCGTGCCATAAAAAGCACAGTAAAAAGTGCCGCACTCAGCGGGTCCCTGAGCCTTCTCAAGCACGTGACAGCTCGCCGGTTCGCCCGCCAGCTTCGCCCACCAGCTTCGCCCGCTTCACCTGGCTCACTCACCGCCGCCCGCCACTTCCGGCATCCATGACGATGAGCCTCGGCCTCGAGTGGGAGGCGCCCACGCGCAACCGACTGGATGGGTTCTTCCTTCAAGGCCAGCGTCCCTTTCTTCCTGAGCTTCACGAAGAAGTCGCGAAATCCTGGAACACCCCCTTCTCAGCCTGAGTGCGTTCCTCTGTCTCTGTAGCATTCTATGTGGTGGACGGTGAGAAAGACATTGGTTACCTCTTGCTTCCCCCCGTGGAAGAAGCCTAGCCCTCTGCTGGACGGCGAGCTAAGACGGCGCTACCATCAAAAGCACTCGCTACCTGCACTCGCTTGAGTACTCGCTCACACATTGTGTTCCCCTGGCGTAAGATTTACGCAGTACGAGAGAACCTCTCGTAAGAGAACGTACTTGGTTACTAACGTAACCTCGGTTCTCTTGCCGTGCCTGCAACATGCTCTGGTCCACTTCGGCAATGAAAAAACAGTGATATCAGCCTATCGAGCTATATTTATAGGGCTAGGCCACGTTTGCTTCGGATGGATAGAGAGAACCAAGGTTACGCTAGTAACCGAGTACGCTTTATGGATACATCATGTAGCATATGGTTAATCAAATAAACACAGCTCATTGGAAAAACATGCCTCTACCTACATTTTTTTCAACACTCCAAAAACATAACTACAGTATTATACATACAATTCACTGCAGTTTTCATCTGAAAATAATACTAGAGGCAGTAAAATGACAACTTTTATACCCTTTTCACACAAATGACGAGTACTGGGGCAGATTATAATATTGTGCAAGGAACCATGCAAAAGTCTATGTTAAAGGGTTAGTTCACTCAAAAATTAAAATGCTGTCATTAATTACTCACACTCATGTTGTTCCAACCCCGAAAGACTTTCGTTCATCTTTCGTTCACAAATTAAGATATTTTTATGAAATCTGAGAGCTGTCTCACTCCTCCATAAGGCTGCAAGGTAATTTCATCTGCCAGCTCAGAAAAGTTTGTAAAGACATCATTAAAATAGTCCAAGTGACTACAGTGGCTCAACCATAAGTTTATCAAGCGATGAGAATACATTCTGTGCTAACCCCCCCCCCCCCCCCCCCAAAATAACGACTTTATTCAACTCTTCATTTTCTCCTGTGTGGGCCTTTCAGTGAGTTCACAAGGGCGCCATGCCGCATGTGCGAGAACTGAGAAGATGGTGTAGATGGGTCTCGATGTAGTGTTTTAAGTGATTCTAAAGTGTGCACTTCCTGGATTTCTGAATCGTGAGAAACCAACGATAAAACGTAAAAGTGCCTTACCAATTCAGCAAAATGAATGGCTTACCTTTCACACTTTCCCATCAAATGATCTCAGTTCTTGCGCATGCGTCGTGGCACTCTAGTGAACTCGCGTCAGAGGCCCATACAGAAGAAAATGAATAGTTGAATAAAGTTGCTATTTTTTTGTGCACAAAAAGTATTCTCGTCGCTTAAGATTATAAACTTATAAACCACAGCAGTCACTTGGACTATTTTAACAATGTCTTTACAAACTTTTCGGTCTGGCAGATGAAATTACCTTGCAGCCTATAAGGAGTGAGCCAGCTCTCAGATTTCATCAAAAGTATCTTAATTTGTGTTTGGAAGATGAACAAGTCTAATAGGGTTGGAAAAATATGAGGGCGAGTAATTACTGACAGAATTTTCATTTTTGGGTGAACTAACCCCTTTTAGAGTGTGTTCACACATGCAATTTGGTTCTCTTGGTTCTTTTGGTCAAATATAAAGGTACAAAATGAAACGAAACGGCTTTGTATGATGTGTATTTTTTGACGGAACTTACCGAACATCCAAAACAATGCTGTGTGCTGGTCTAAATGCATCAGCTGAAATATAAACTGAGAAAAGGTGTGCCAAGAGTTCCTCCGCTGTACACAAGCGAAGATCTGCTGCAAGGAGACGGTATTTCCAATGGGCAACATTTCGACTATGACATGAAAAACCAGGTGCCATTTTTAGGGTCGCATCTAGTGACATCATGTCCTGTTATTGATTTGTTTTAATGTCTTTGGTCCATATTGCGTTCATATATCCATCAAACCACACAGTTCTTCTGGAAGCAGACAGAAACCCATCTTTTCAGCGGTCTCAATCCGCTTGTTTGGTGCGCACCAGGGTTCAGATGCCAGTGTTCGCATTTATTCAAATGAACATCACTAATGCTCCGCTACACCATCGACGTCGTTGCATGTCGTCAGTGGCTGGCGGTGAGGACGCTAGTGGGCGTTCACACTACTGGTTGCCTAGTAACGTGTGAGAATGGCATTTTACAGATATACCCCAGACAGCAAACTGACATTGAATCAACATGGAAACGACGTCTCTCATGACATTGAAACAACGTTGATTTTGCTCATCGAATTAACGTTGAACCAACGTCAGATGCGGCATTCTTCAAAGCTAAATGAAAATCGAAAATTGGTTTGCTTTCATAACGTTGAAACAACGCGTTGATTTCAAGTTGATTTTCCGTTAGTTTTGAAAGAATGACGCGTCTGACGTTGGTTCAACGTTAATTCGATGAGCAAAACAATGTCAGATCAACGTTGTTTCTATGTCATATTTCCACGTTGATTCAATGTCAGTTTGCTATCTGGGACTCCATGTTGTAAACGAGTCAGTTTTACAATACAAACATTTTGGAAGGAAACTCTAAATGGAATCAGTACATAAAATGCCAAATATTAAAGATGAACAAGAAACAGCGAGTGCACTCTTTGCCATTGTGTCAATTTATCATAAATTATAGGACAGTTGCTGACCTCTAAAATGAGCTTCTCCATCTTGTCCTGATCACGTGCGCTCCACTGACTACACAACTATTGGTTGTCGCTCCTAAAAGTTGCTCTTCATTTGCATAAAGTTGAGCAGAACTTCTCAAGGCACTGGACACAAGGTCGCTGTCGACAGAAACCGCCTGCTCTCTATTAAAATAATTTGTCTTGCTTTGTCAAGTGTGAACGCAGTAAAACGGCAAATTGCACCAGGGTTTGTTCTTAATAAAACCAAACCTGCCAAGTGTGAACACACCCAAATATAATACTTTTTTTATTATTGTTGATGATCATCCTTATTTTTTGTTGTTGTCATGGCAGAAATGAAATAGAATAGCATTTTAAGATTACAATCATATTGAAATCAGCATTTTGTTCAGCCAAGGAAATCTACCCTTTACAACATGTCCAAGGCATTTTAGTTAATTGCCTTTAAAAAAGTGTGCAGAATTTATCAAAATATATCAAAATTAATTTTAATACACCAATCCTGCATGCTTTCCATTGTGAGTCAACTACAAGACAAATAATTTGTCTCTTTTCGAGAGCCTTTGACACCTTTGGAGCTCTGATTCATCTGAGGACACATTTCATCTATAAATAAATCTTGTCTGTCATTCCATCAGAAGTGTCAAGTGGGTACGAGAAGGGCGAAATCTAGTCATGGCTTGACAACTACAGTGGTCCTTGAAGTGATGCTGGTGGCTTAAAATGTGTCTCTGATCTCCATGGCAACTGTGCAATCTCTCCGTCTCAGCCCAGCGATCTGGATGTCAGAGGTTGCAGCGCTCGCTAAACAGAAAAATACATTTACATTCAACTGAGCTGTAATGTGGCATCAGCACAACAATCATGTATTTTAAATATTTTGGTCTAAATGGATTGCATTAAATGATCATGGAAACAAATTCATGGCATAAGTTCATTAACAGTAGTTGTGATGTTGTAGGGCATTTTGGATCTGATTGGTTAGGGTGGGGAAGGCTATTTGTGTCAGGATTGTGCATGTGAGTTTCATTCCAGGGCAGAAAAATCATAAAACACTGTATGAAAAGAATCAGAGATGGAATATTAAATGGCTACACATAGACAACACCACTATAAAACTGTAGGAGACATGCATACAAGATGTGACACTGAAGACTGGAGTAATGATGCTGAAAATACAGCTTCACATTACAGATATACATTTTAAAATACATTAAAATAGAAAAAAAAGTTATTTTAGGATGTAATAAAATTTCACAATATTGGTAGTGTATATTGCCATATGATGCACTTGTATCATTTTGTTTCAAATGTGTCCTCTGATAACATCAAAACAGTCTCTATACTGGAGGGCCTTCTGTGAGCCTGTGAGGGTTGCCATGGGAAACAGTAATTAATTAACCATGAACTGAAGGCACCTGTTCCCAATTATACACTAAGCATCCTCTGAGGAAGGTGAGTATGTTCTCCCAATGAAAGAAATACTCTTCTCATATCCTCCATGTCTGCATTGGAAAAGGTCATTGATTTGAGCTTGTCTTATCTGCATATATTGAAGTTGCACAGACCCATAACTTTTATCAACCGTGGATCATCACCCAATAAAATGGGTGTTTTGTATGCTATAATTGTATCCTAGTTTATTTTCAACAGAATACATTGCTATATACAGTAAAGGGCTATTGTAGTACCCCAAAGTAATGCTAAGTGCAATGCTAGAAGGTTCGAAACCTGGAATGTCTTGAACGTTCACTTATTATGTACCATGTCACTAGCCTGGCTAACGCCAGACCACGTATCATTGAGAATGAAACGTGGTCTGGAAACCACATGTTCATTTTCAGGTATTTGAGCCGTGGTTTGCGAATGCCCAGAGCCATATTATTGGGTGCTACGAATGTCTATCAAATGCGCCTGCACGTCTATCAAATGCGCCTGTGCTGTGATTGGTTCCCTATTTCAGGGGGAAAATTTGGTATCCAGACTGCCTAGCAGCGCGAATAAAATCACGCCGTGGCAAGGCAGCATGGGGAAACCCAGGCTACCATGTCACCCTTTTCAGGTTCAAATGCTCCTTCAGATCCCAAAAGGAATCAATAAACGCTGTTAATATACACTCATGGAAGCCAATGTCTTGTGATTGTCAAAACATTGGGTAACTAAACAGAATTAAGTTAAGTGACAACATTTTACAATGTTTACATGGCACAATGACTGGTAGGGTACTGTATTTATTAGTGCTTGACACAGATTTTACAATTTCAATTCATAAGCTTTTTTGATTCCAATTTTGATTCAATATCAATTTATTGGTACAGTATACCTGCATGTAAAATTTTCTCAAGGTCAAAAAAAAAAAAAAAACTCAACTAATGCTGTAAACATACAGGGAGCCCTGTCAGCTGGTATTATTATTAAATAGTTAAAATTAACAACTTAAACTAATAATAGTTATCTTAGACATGTAAATCTGCTTCCCTTTCAGTTGGTCACATTCGACGCCACGCCGGACTGACCGAAGAATAGCAATCTCACAAGAGAGGCCAATCTACTTCGAGTCTAACTCATAGACTATAAAAAAAATATGGACGTAGTATCCGTGACGTCACCCATAGGTTTCTGAAGAGCGTTTTAGAAGACTAAAGTGGGCGGGGCCGGCCGTCGCCATCTTGGCAGTGCGTCACCTCTCGTCACTACCGGATAAATTAAAATGGGCAAAGAGGCGGGACGCGGGTGGAGCTGAGGTACTAATGCTATGCTACTGCCCTCGCGCTGAAATGACAGCTGATTGAAAAAGTAAAGCCAATGCTTAAAGTTCATGTTTTTGCCCTTCGAAATATTATTATAGTTAAGACGCAACTAAAAGTGAGACTATTTACGGCAAGAATTCAACTGTCACTCAAGTGGCCACGCCCTTAATTATGCAGAACTTTAAGGCCTAAATATAATTTAAACAGATGAGTTGTAAAAAAAATTCACCCCCCTCACAATCGTCATGAAACGAGCGTTAATGAGCTGAGGATCTGAATCAGGTGTGTTAAATAAGGGAGACAAACACAATATGCAGAGCAGTGGGTCACGAGGACTGGAGTTGAGAACCTCTGGTTTAATTCACTTCCGTGTTGGCTTCAATAGAGATACGGGGAGGTTGCCCCTTGGTCTAACTAAACGAGTCAATGCACATTGGGATGCAATATTTGCATCAGCTGCTCCGCTTCACAGACTGGGTATATAATGAGCAGTGGGTGCATCACTTTTTTGTTTCGGAGGCGAGTGGCTTGTTTATTCCTGCTTTAAATCTTCAGTTATTCTACCCCTTCTGTTTGATCTTGGTGTTACGTCACTACAGTGAAAGTCTCTCATTGAACACTAAAAAGTTCTTCCGACAGCTGGTGAGTGGTGCGTTTTAACAGAGCGCTGAAAAGCTATTCTCACAACTGGTGGGTGGTGCACTTTCAGAGAACGCTGCACTGAATCCCTATCAGTGTTGCTGGGGCCATTTTCCCCGTGTGCTTCAGCACCAAGAATGAGTTTCTTTCCTAAAAGAGCTTATACGGGTTTGAGTTTGTGTCCTTTTTGAGTTTGGATGCGGTCGTAACCTGGTTCCAGGATGGTTATGATCACTGTCTCATGTGTTTGGGCGTTAGGCACTCTGAGAGAGCTTTTGTGGATGAGTCATGCACCCACTAAGTTGCGGTCAAGACTCCAGTACCTCCAAAGAGGTGGGGTCCCTATGCCTCTGCCTCGATCCCTGCCTCCTCAGAGGCTTACTTCAAGCTCAGTCTTTGTCAGGTTGAGGACATCCAAGCACATCCTGCCCCAGCGGACAGCTGCTGCTTCCACCCGACCGCTGGTCGCAGGACCCCTGTCTGCTCATTGCCAAGGGTAGCAGCAGCAGCCTCCATCCAAGCAGCATCATGGAGCCGGTCACAAGAACAGTGTCCAGTCCGTCCAGGCTCCCTCCAAGCACTAGTCCAAGAGGTTCTGAGATAGTCTACCAGGAGATGGAGAGAACAGCTCTTTGAGAGATGGTCTCCGCATCACTCCCTCCCTCCGGGTGGAGAATCCTTAGTTTCATTTTGTTTCTTATATTTTATCTGACGCTTTTAACCAATGTTTTGTTCCCAAATTCTCAATAAAAGAGCAGTTTCCAGTTTCCGATCTCTGGATCCCAAGGGAGCAGGAAGAGCAGTGGACAGTGCAGAACCGGACCACTCTCATCCTCCTTTTCTGTCGCCACCGGGCCGGTTCCCTGCGTTCCACCTCGCTGCTCCACTGCGGTATGCCTATGGTCCTGCTTGCACGGTCTCTACGAGCCTGGCTAGCGCTCCCCAGTCCGTCTCACTAGGCTCATTCAGACCATCAGTCTTGCCTATGCGATTCAGTTCACCCATATGTCACGGAGGCCAGCTAGTAGTTGCTGTGCAAGTAGAGCGCCTGACTCTCACGCCGGAGACCCGGGTTCGAGGCCTGCTCGGAGTGGGGCGAGTAGGGACCCGGGTGGAGGGGTTACATTGGTGCCGTGACCCGGATGAGAGTGAGGTTTAGGGGGGTGAGTGTAACGGAGGCCAGCTAGTAGTTGCTGTGCGAGTAAACCTCACTCCCCGATCTCAATAGGCACTCTAGCAACAGACGCTAGAGGCTGCAGTCTTTAGCCTCCTTGTTAGAGCGCCCGACTCTCACGCCGGAGACCCGGGTTCGAGGCCCGCTCGGAGCGGGGCGAGTAGAACCCGGGTGGAGGGGTTACACATAAGCCCCTTTCACACCGAGATTCCAGAAAATACACGGATAATGTGACCCAGCATTTGTCCCGGAATTGTCTGATTTCGGTTCATTCACACTGCCAGTGATTTGCCGGGATCTGTGTGTGTGTTCACACACAACCCGTAAAAATCCCGGGAAGACACATGACGTCAGGATGAGACGTATAACGGACGCGTCGAAAACATGTAAACGCGCATACCGTACACGCACTGGTGAACGATCTCAGCTTCAGTACGGATAGTGAGGAGCTCCTGGTCTCTGCTTCGCTCCAGTTTGCAGGTATTTGTTCGTCCTTTCTTTGTTGATGACGAACACAAACTTTCTTCTAAGAGCAACAGAGTCGCGCGATGGCACGAGCGTCATCACTAAAGACACACCCTTTACGGCATTGGTCCTGGCTTTTGTTCACACAGCGCGCGTTCCGGGACTGATTACGGCAATGTTACTAGGTCCCCAACCTGGGATCAATCCCAGAAGCAATCCCAGGTCGTGTTTGCGTTCACACAGAAGGCGTTCTGGCAATTTACCGGCAATTTCCTGGGATCAACTCGCTGTGTGAAAGGGGCTATAGAAACGCAGAAATGAATTTTCGAATGCACCCCTGAAAGCTTGAAAGCTTGCGCCTCACGCCAAATGCGTGACAGTTGGCCACCCTGCTCCCGGTGTGCTGAAAAACCATGATCTAACCTTTATCTCCATACTGAAATCTCAGTTGGCCTGACAGTGATTTATTTTCCCTGAATCATTAAATTATTGGTGTCCTGTATGCTGACCTAGAAGCAGTATTCAATACTTAACAAGCAGATAGCAAGGACACAAGAAAAAATTGCTGGAATAATAGTAACGCAGCACATCAAAAACAGCAAAGGGGCAAACAAGCTGTGCAGCCTTAACAAATACTTGCAGTGTAAGAGCTAAGTTGATTATAATGGTAGCAATGCAGTTTTCTTCCATCACCATGCACCACTCTGTCCCAGTGTGAGAGTAAGTGGAGATTATTGTGCTTAGAGTAAAATTATGTCTTAATTAATTGTTTAAATAATGGGTGAAGGGATTAGAGAATTCAACACACTGTAACATCTGTTATATTATTCCCCTGTGAAATAAAGTGACTGAAAGGATTTTGAGTGCGGATATTCTTGAAGTAATTAAATAGATTAACACAAAAACATAATACAAGATATGAGATGAGAAAACGTGGTGTAAATGACTCTGTGGAACCATAAAAAAAGGCCTACACTGGCTGTTTGTAGTCAGAATTGACCGACTATATAGGAAATTAGAGGAAAAGGATTGTGTTTTTGCTTATGGTGAAAGCTAAAATGATTATGGTGAAATTGAGAAATGTACACATAAATAAGATCTAAATTGCCACAAGTGCATATTTTTATTGTTATACTTCAGGGAAGTAAGTTTTCAGTTTTATCATCATATCATCTATTTCAAATAAAAAAAGTATTACGCTGTTCATGGCCATTTTTTTTGAACGGGAACAATACAAGTGACCTTTTTTAGAAAAGCTTAGGAATAGTTCACTTCAAAATGAAAATTCTGTCATCATTTACTCACCCTCAAGCCTGTATACATTTCTTTCTTCAAAATATCTTCTTTTGTGTTCAGCAGAAGAATGTTGGTAACCGGACCCCAATGACCCAATGATAATGGGGTTGACAACTGTTTGGAAATTCATACAAGTTTGAAACAACTTGAGGGTGAGTAAATGACAGAATTTTCATTTTGAAGTGAAGTGAATTATGTTTAAAAATGTCTCCCACTAGTAATGATGACATTGTGGTGGTGTTCATGTGTGCTAATCTCATAAATACGATAATTTTGACATGACTGAAGGCAGTACTGTTATAATCACATTCACTTACCTTTTGTCTGTGTCTTTGTGCATTTGGTCACGGATGGTTTGGAATGTTCAACTTATAATGTCGAGGAAGTTCCTCTCTTCCTCGCTGCAGTGTATGCCTGCAGTTGGGTCAGAGTGATACAAAAGATTTGTGTGATGTTCCTTCATTATGTGCTGGGCTTTGCAGACATTGTCTTGGAGTTGTTTCCATTGCAGGTGCTCGGCTGCCTCATGCAGTGTTGGAATGCTGACATCCAGTAAATGTCGTGAAATGCTGTCTATACTGACTATTCTTGTAGAAAAAATATAAAAAAAGACTTTCATGCATTTAAGAGCTATACAAAAAAAGGGGGCACTCGTGAAGCATCTACAGTGTATAAATCTGTAAGTATAATAATATATTACAAATAACTTGTGATTTGATTATTTAATCAGAATACATGGCTACTTTCACATGGCCGTCAATGGAGAACAATGCTCTTTGTCCGCACAATGGTGTCCTATTTTCTTTACATGCGATGTATGATCTTGTCTTTGTCCTCTCATTTTCCCCTTTGTCTTATCCTTCCTTATAAATCCTATATTTTTGCTCTCACAGTTTGTCGGTGAATGTCTTTAGTTCCAGTTCATTTTGTTTGTATTGTAGTGCTATCTCGATGGTCAGTGTAATCCGGGATGAGGCCGTTGAGGTATAAGCTTCCGCTTCGCACAAATGTGTATGGATACAACTCTTCTCTCTGATCTCCGAGGTTAACTGAATGTGCACGTTTCCCTGGTGTCATCTGCTGATTGATAGGTGGGCTGAGGTTTATTTCAGCGGACAGCTTGCGGTTGATCGATGCAGCACGCTGGAATTTGTCGTAAATGTCGACACTAAGTCGCCGACGAGTCTCCTTAAACTCAGCGGACACGTTAGCAGTCCACTCAGCGGCATGAGCTCGAAACTCTCCTACCTATGACAAAAAGAACAAGATTAATATTCTGAAAAAGGTTAGTGTGCCAAAAATCATGTCATGCCAGACCAGTATGTTTTGTTTTTTTTTTTTTTGTTTTTTTTCTGAAATACAAAGGGGGGATTTTTTTTATATTTATTTTTTACAATAACTCTATTTCCATTCTGATACAGTTCATTGTGGCCATGTGTCAAGCTCCAAAAAAAAAAAGCTTTAGTATATATACTCCATTCCAAGTCTTCTGGTAGCTTTGTGTGAGAAACAGACAACAGTTAAATTCAGTCATTTGCACAGTAAAGTAGCCTATATGGAAAAATTGTCAACTTTTGCTTAAAGCCAAATGGCATAGGTTCTCACATGTCTAAATCGAACAAAAAGGAGAATGACATTTGAGAGCTGGAGCTGAAGGGAATATTATGTGTCTGTAATGACTTAAATTACATTTTGGTCAGTTCTTTACACAAAGCTATCATATGACTTCAGAATAGTTAGTAAATGAGTTTAACTGTATGGATATTAATGATCTATGGCTCTTTGATGGTGTTGTTTTGCCCTTTAGAGCTTGACAGACATGCTGACTGTGAACTGCCACTGTAAAAAAGCAGAGCAAATATTTTGCAAAAAATCTACTTTTGTGTTGATGTAAAAAACAAAAAAACAAAAAACATATGGGTCTGGAATAATGAAAAGCAATGTGATATTTCATTTTGACAGGAAAACTGGAGTGATATCTGATACCCTAATATAACCATAACTATAATATTTAAAAATAAGAAAAATAAATTGTGCTTTGTATTTAAGAATATATAATTTCTGATAATAATCTTGTTTACAACAAGTGACAAACTATTGAAGTCAACAGTAACTCATTTGACTTCTGTAAATTTACATTTTTAGTGATCTTATTCACTGGGAATTGATTTTATTATGGAAATATTGGAGTTCTAAAGTAGAATGAAGTCAGATGTAAAGGAATGGTTGCAGTTGATAAAACATTGCAATGTTGACAAACATGATTCTTCAGAATAAAATGGTCTGATTAACAATTTACATAGAAAACGTTATGTCAATTCCATTTACACACTGTCTCTGAAACTTTCGTCCGTCATAAAACAATTCGGATCGGGTTCGATTATCTGTGTGTTTTGTATACGTAGCAAGCATTTTGAGAGATGTTTTGACAATTCAGAGTCATCAAATGACGAATAGAAAAAAACGCATACGAAAATTTCAGACTAAGGGCCAGATGTACTAATGCTTTAGCACCCACTCGCAAAGTGCGCATAAAACCATGGCGAGGTATGTACGAACGGGACGCACCGAGATTGCCTGTCACGGGAACTGAAAATGGCAAAACGTGCTTTTCATGTCATGCATATACATTCAAGGGATGGTCAAGGGGAAAGTGGGAGTGTCACATAAAGAGATGGGAGGGGAAATGTAAACTGTGCCTAATTATGTATTCCGTGTTATGTACAGAAAAAGCCGGCGAAGCGCGCCTCTATTTTGCACTGAAAATTCTCAGCCTCTTAAAAGCAGATATAACATAGTGTAACCCCTCTATGGGCCTCGAACCCGGGTCTCCGGCATGAGAGTCGGGCGCTCTAAAAAGGAGGCTAAAGACTGCAGCCTCTAGTGTCTGTCGCTAGAGCGCCTATTGAGATCAGGGGAGTGAGGTTTACTCGCACAGCAACTACTAGCTGGCATCCGTTACACTCACCCCCCTAAACCTCACTCTCATCCGGGTCACGGCACCAATGTAACCCTTCTATCCGGGTCCCACTCGATCCGCTCCGAGCGGGCCTCGAACCCGGGTCTCCGGCGTGAGAGTCGGGTGCTCGGGTGCTCCTCTAACAAGGAGGCTAAAGACTGCAGCCTCTAGTGTCTGTCGCTAGAGCGCCTATTGAGATCAGGGGAGTGAGGTTTACTCGCACAGCAACTACTAGCTGGGCTCCGTTACATTAGGAAGCAGGTTTCTTGGCAAATGCCTCCTGGTGAAATGGGCAGCAGTAATCCGAAGACATAGGCTAAGGAGAAGAGCTAAAAGATTTTTGCCACACTTTTTCAGTTGAGTGAAAACGAAATCATTAAGCATTACAGATTAAGCATCTCTATGCAATATTACAGTTACTGGAAGAAATCAAAGATGACATCGAATCTCTGACTCAGCATTCACGTTCCATTCCAGCAGAAAAATCTGGATCATTTCAAACAGTCATAGCATCACCAGTGAGAGGAGGAGACCCATTCAATTGCACCTTTAAATACAATTTAAAGCAATTCACGGTATAGTGGGTGGGGACAGGTGCTGATTATCTGATGAACTCCAGTTTGGGACATAAAACGCACACTGCCGTTTCACATCAAGCGCTTTCTGCTTCTTAACGCTGCGTTCGCAAATACGTACATTTGGCCCTCCGTGAACAAGGACCTTTACAGTGCATTCAAGGTAAGCAAACTTATGTCACATACATTCTGTTCCCTTGGCATTACTAGTGCCGTGCTCTACCAGTTGAGTTACAGGAACACAATTTACCATGCAGAATAACGTTAAAAACATATTAAACGCTTAGTAGAACATTGTCCCGGAAGCAGACGCACTCTGTCAGTTCAAATGTAGACTAAAAACACATCTCTTTGACCAAGCATACATAACACATTACAGACATTACATTCCCCTAAATCCTGATGTACTTGTTACATTATTAGAAGGATGGCGTCTAGGCAAATATTAGTCTCTCTGTTTATCCTGAGGTTTATCGCAGTCCGTCAGATCCCGGTCGTGTCAAGATCTGATGAAGGACCTGAGCCTAGACACGGCGACAACGCAGTCCTGAAGTGTCAACTAGTCTCTGCCCTGTGAAGGCCTCTGTTCAGATTAAACGTTGTCGGTATAATTTTGATTCAAGTGGCTTTACAGTAATGATAAATAATTTTTTACATGCCTGCGCACATATATATTCAAACAAGCACACCTATAGACTAAACACGTGATGTGCATGGAATTTTCGTGGGTTTGCGTTTTTTGAGGTTTGCGCAGAGCTGTTAGAACGGTGTCGTGTAAGCAGCCCCTTAAGTCAGGGGTCTCAAACTCAACTTAACTGGGGGATGCTGGAGATAAAGTCTGGGTCAGGCCGGGCCGCATCAAGTATTTAAAAAAAAAAAATGTATTTAAGTATTCCAAAAATGGAACACAACTGATCCAATCTTCTCAATCTTTATTATTAACGTTTCTTCAGAACTGTTCCTCTGAATTTGAACATTCCTTTCTGTACATGATTGGTTCTTCATGAGCTGTCCTTCTGATAGTTGAAGTTCATTTTACAAACTTTCTTTGTCTTTTTCTTATACATCTTTGTGATGATAGTCATATTTGCTTTTTATTTTCTTTATACAACACTATTATATTGATTTTTTTTTTTCTTTTTTCGGAAGGCACATTTCCTTTTATTATACTTAGAAAAACAATTATTGCTTTTGAAATACAAATAATTCTTTCTACACATGTATAGTGTCTCAGGCAAAGTCTTACTGACTTTGCACATATCAAAGCAAACCTTCTTATCAACCGGTTGGATCAAAGTTCAGTTCACAAATTTTAAAATGAACTAGTTCAGTTCATATTTCATACTTCAAAAAATGAACTAGTTCATAGTTCTTTTTTTTTCCATATGTTGCTGCGAGCTTCTTTTTTATTATTATGCTATTATTATTGCCACAGCCCATATAGAACCACAGATAACAATTATTTTATCGACGGGCAAAGTTTGCACAGACATGTAAGATTTTCTCATCCTCACCGACCTCATAAAACCCTTTTAAATGATCTTACGACGCCTCCTCGCTCCTCGGTTCACAGACACTAGAATGAACGAGTTCACTGTAACGTTCATCAGGCAGTAATACAAGAGGCTACGTTCAGTCCACGTTCGCCCAAAATATGAACGAGTTCATGAACTATCGTTCATTGAACGCGTTCAGACACAACACATATTACAAGCTCAAAAGGATTATTCTCACATTGTTTTAGAGCAGGGGTATCCAACACGTCGCTCGTGAGCTAACGGTAGCTGTGGCCTGATTCGATGGTAGAAGCTCGCCTTGGGCCTGTTCATATATCGCGCTCACATATTTTTCACGCTCAAATTTGTTTCAAATGTATGCGCGCATCAAGCACGCTCATAATTGAAGCGACGCGCTCATTTTTTCCAGGCGCAGTATATGTTTGTACTTCGTGGTTGTCTATGACAACTATTGCAACAAACCCACCGTAAGCTGTCACAAGGCTATCTGGTAGCCCATAAGGAGGAAAAAAAAACAAAAACGCGGCGAACGCACCGGCGGGCCGCACTCACATTAAACTTTAATGTCAAGTGGGGGGCCACAAAATATCATCCCGCAGGCCGCGAGTTTGAGACCTCTGCCTTAAGTTAATAACTAATGATCTTTGCAACGGAAGTGAATCAATATGTGGTATAAAGTGTATTTAATAATGCTCAATCATCACTCAATCGTTCACTTAATTATTTCATTAACTTTAACACTGCTTCATTGTTACTTATTACTCTGAGTGTGGATTATATAAACACTGAACAGTGTTAATTTAATACTGCCTATTTTGCGATGTAGAACAACTGTTGGATTTAACAGTAAGTAGGGTTGGGTATCGTTTGAATTTGAACGATTCTGATTCCGATTCCTTGTTTCGATTCCGGTTCCTAACGATTCTCGATTCCGATTCTTTTAAGAAGCAGGGTCAAAAAAGTTTAACTAACCTTGCTAACCAACGGTCTTTCTGAAGGAAATAATCCTTTCTGGAGGAAATACTCCTGTCACAAATACACAAATTTTGCATTTTGCCGAGATTTCGTTATTTTTAGAAAAGTGAAGCCACACTTTGGACCGCCGACGTAAGGTACTCATGTTCGACACGCGCGGTTATGGCAACACTTCCGGTAGACGCTTCTTTGTTGGTGTTGTTCAGCGGTTTCTTCTTCCGCTCGGTGGACTGTGAATATCGAAACTAGGAATCGAAGTTTTAACTTTTGAACGATTCCGGGAAAAACGAAAAGTTAGTCCCGATTCCAATCGATACTCGATTCTCGATACCCAACCCTAACAGTAAGTGCACATATTGTAAAACAAAGTGCAACCTAAAAATTCTTATGGGTTTGGAACAACATGAGGGAGAGTAAATGATGAAAGAATTGTTATTTTTGGGTGAGTTTTTTGGGTGAACTGAGTTTATTTGTGGGTGCAGATGTTGTGTGAAGGTGGCATAATTGATTGCATCACATGAGAACACACCTCCTCCTTTGTTTTCTTTGATATGACACGAAACCAGTCTCCAATCATACTGAGAACAGCGGCGAAATATGCTAAACCAATCAGGATCCAGAACCAGACCAGGGGCTTGTAATAGTCCAAGTACTCCAACTCAGAACCACCTGAACAAACGAGATATGATACTAGAATCCTTTTTGCAAACAGCTGCAAACATGCAGTCATGTGTGTCCTGTGTTAATGCTCACCACTGCTTTCTTCATGGAGGCGTCGCTCACCCTCGCCCGCAACAAAATCTCCAAAGCCAATGGTTGTCAAAGTAATGACGACAAAGTAGATGGACTCCAGTGCACTCCAGCCCTCAATGTGTTTGAATATGACGGCCGGCAGAGTGACGAAGAGGAGACAACCAAAGAGAATGAAAAGAAAAGTAGAGATCACGCGGATCTTGGTTTGACTCACGTTCCACTTCTGAGGAGAGAAAAAAAAGTATGCATGGAAAGATGTAGGAGTTAATCGATGGATGGATAGATAAACAAATAAATAAATAAATAAATAAAGGGTTAGAAAAACTCATTTTAAATACAATATGTGACCAGTACTGGCAAAATCAGTCGCAATGGGCAAATTTTGAAAAATGTGTTATTGTATTTCCCATTCTCTATTAAACAATCTTCAAAATAATGTATGATTTGTTGGAATCAGACACAAAAAAAAAAGTCGATAGAGTCAGCAAAGTCAATTTTGAGAAAAATAAAGTTAAAGTTTTCTAAAGGTTCCAAAACAAAATCACCTAGCAAACATACCTTAAAATCCCTGGTAAAAACACCACTTTTGGCACACACCAAGTCAAAACCAAATATCTATAGGAAAAATATACACTCACCTAAAGGATTATTAGGAACACCTGTTCAATTTCTCATTAATGCAATTCTCTAATCAACCAATCACATGGCAGTTGCTTCAGTGCATCTAGGGGTGTGGTCAGGACAATCTCCTGAACTCCAAACTGAATGTCAGAATGGGAAAGAAAGGTGATTTAAGCAATTTTGAGCGTGGCATGGTTGTTGGTGTCTGAGTATTTCACAATCTGCTCGGTTACTGGGATTTTCACACACAACCATTTCTAGGGTTTACAAAGAATGGGGTGAAAAGGGAAAAACATCCAGTATGAGGCAGTCCTGTGGACGAAAATGCCTTGTTGATGCTAGAGGTCAGAGGAGAATGGGCCGACTGATTCAAGCTGATAGAAGAGCAACTTTAACTGAAATAACCACTCGTTACAAATAAAGCATTTGTGAAGCTACAACACACACAACCTTGAGGTGGATGGGCTACAACAGCAGAAGTCCCCACTGGGTACCACTCATCTCGACTACAAATAGGAAAAGAGGCTACAATTTGCAAGAGCTCACCAAAATTGGACAGTTGAAGACTGGAAAAATGTTGCCTGGTCTGATGAGTCTCGATTTCTGTTGAGACATTCAGATGGTAGAGTCAGAATTTGGCGTAAACAGAATGAGAACATGGATCCATCATGCCTTGTTGCCACTGTGCAGGCTGGTGGTGGTGGTGTAATGGTGTGGGGGATGTATTCTTGGCACACTTTAGGCCCCTTAGTGCCAATTGGGCATCGTTTAAATGCCACGGCCTACCTGAGCATTGTTTCTGACCATGTCCATCTCTTTATGGCCACCATGTCCCCATCCTCTGATGGCTACTTCCAGCAGGATAATGCATCATGTCACAAAGCTTGAATCATTTCAAATTGGTTTCTTGAATATGATAATGAGTTGACTGTACTAAAATGGCCCCCACAGTCACCAGATCTCAACCCAATAGAGCATCTTTGGGATGTGGTGGAACGGGAGCTTCGTGTCCTGGATGTGCATCCCACAAATCTCCATCAACTGCAAGATGCTATCCTATCAATATGGGCCAACATTTCTAAAGAATGCTTTTAGCACCATGTTAAATCAATGCCACGTATTAAGGCAGTTCTGAAGGCGAAAGGGGGTCAAACACAGGTAAGTGTCCTTTAGGTAAGTGTATATTAAATTTTTTTTCCAATAAACCAATAATTTTTTATTAACATTAATGAAACACACAGCCTATATAATACCTACTGTACCGCATGGATCTAATATAAATGTTACACATCAGATGTTTTTCCCCAACAGGTAACCACCCGTTCAATTAAGAATAACAGATGTGCGAGAATACTCACCAAGAAAGAGATATTTTTAAATACTGTGTATGTGTATCTATGTGTATATCGGGATCGCGTCTTTGTGCACATACTTCGGATTGTCAATCAGCGCGAGTAAGATCATTTTGTTTAGCATCAGCATCAGTTTGAATTGAAAATCACATTTCATTGGTTCAGACTCATTCCATTGAGAGTTTGCTATACATATTCACAAAGTTGGAATGGTGCACTTTAAAACAATACCAAACTTGTGCTGAGAGGAAACGTCTGTCGTTGAGAAGCGAGTGGAGAAAAAATGCCTTTATTTGCTATTTGGAGCATTGGGATTGGAAGAATTCGCTCCTTTTGTGAAAACCTCAAAATCGACCAAAAATCAAGCGTAGTGTCAGTTCTGGCAGATCACGTTAGTCAAGCTCACATCAGTGATTCTCAGCTGATCCACATCTACCTATAGGAATACGATGCCTATCACTTTATACATATATAAGCTCTTTCAGTATTAACTGCAGCTATCGTGTCTCTCATGGGCTAATTCCCTCCTCCATCCCCTGCTCCTCCTCTTGCCCAGTCAGGATTTGGAATTTTGATTACCCCTTGAGTCAGAATAAATTCTCGAATTATGTTGTACTTTAAAATCTTGAATGAATGATACCTGCAATGCATTCATGTTGGTTCTGTTCTGTTTACCCTAAGGCGGGCTCTTATCTATGCTAGGCTGCATGGATGAACAGGGAGTTCTTGCCCAGAACCATACCCCCAATTCTAACTGTATGCTAACTCCCAATCGTATTTGACGATAGTGGTCCTGACAGAAATGACAATTTCTTTTTCCATTTTTGACATTTCAACTCATTTTGCCAGCACGGGTCACATAACAAATAGATGCAGGCAGTCATGTACAAAAATCCACTTAATATTGTATATGAATATAACGTAAAGAAACAAGACATGTCTAAGACTTTGACATCCTAGTGCTAATATATGACTGGGGCCTCCAAGATCACATAGAATTTATAATACACATTTTTAAGACACACGTATGTAAGCTTGTTGCAATATTTATTAGAAAGAAAAATACTAGGCGCATAAACATGTCTGTGTGCCATTCTACTGTCTAAAAACTATCTATGTTATCTAAAATTTCATTAATTAACCAGGAAATTTCTGTAAAAGTTGATATAATGATCAACATTATTCTGTCAACAGAACTTGTTTGCACTTATTAGGTTTAATTCAATAATTTATGATTAAACGTACAACCATGCATTTATTTAAGTGATAGGTCCCTTGAATTTCTTTTTAGAGTGTGTTGGGCTAACTTTGTTGATCAGCAGCAATATGGTGAGATAACGCATTGGGAAGTGGCACTATGAGGAGGAGAGATGGCCACATGGAATCAGGCCCAGCAGGGTCCTCAGGGCATGTGTGAATCAGCTGTTTGCTCGTTTTTTCTCAAGGTTTCGTTCTCTACTACTATCACCAGATGGGGTTTTGGTTCATTGCCACTGTTGCTCTTTGGCTCGCTCAGTGGTGGTTTATATGACAGTTAATACATAATAAATCATGAATTGCAACATACGTATGGAAGCATGAGGTATGTAGTCCTAATAAAGTTTCTGAGGGTCAGTCTAGGTCAAAGTTCAAAAATATTGTTCTAGTCCTTCCCTGAGGAATATTTATATGTATAAGTGAAATGAATGTACGTTCAATTCAATTAAATTCACATTAATTTGTATAGCACTTTTTCACAATACATATCATTTCAAAGCAGCTTTACAGAAAATGCATGTCTATATTAGAGTTTAGAGTGATCTATTATCAAAGGTGAGGTGACCGTCTAAGTTACAGTATGTATTTTAGAAATGTACAGAAGATGCTTTCACTTTACATTTTAGAGTGAGTGAAATGTACAAAGATAAGACCAACAGCCTTTCCCTGTATTTTTTTCCAAACTTTACTGTTATAAGTGCTTTTAGTTAGAGACTGCTTAGCAGTTTTTAGAGATCTCATTCGGTTGTACATGTCAACAATGAGAAGTGTAATCAAGCCGTTGATTATGTGTTTTCCATATGAATGATGAATAACACAAATTGGTTGAAATAAGCTAGATGTTCATCTGGTCTGGTCAGATACAAAGGTGTATAGTGTATTGCATTGTATTATATTTGTTTGTGTCATATGTCTCATGTCCTGTAATGAAGTGCCTTGCGACTGCGCCGCAACCCAATTGCCCCACGGGGACAATAAACTTATCTACAACTCAGGGAATTAGACCTAAAATTCTGTAC